TGATCTAAGCCACATTTTTACTTCATTTTGAGCTGTGAACATAAAGTGCAGAAGTAGATATGAACTTTTGTTTTTAACACATACTTCTCAGGTAATTCTGCCGTGGTGGAAATGCAGTTCACTAAACTTTTTGTTCATCTCAGTAAAAAATGTTTTCCATAGAGACAGTTTGGAAATCTTACAGTTAGGAAAGAATGGCAGAGTATTCGAATAACAACTTTCATATTTGACAATTTTTAGATTGTTAGTTACATCTGTCAGCACTAATTTTTCTTAGTCTGGTGTATTATTTTTGAGACATCAAAGTTGCTATATGGTGTCTTTTGTAGAGAGACTAAAAACTTTGTTGGACAGAGTATCCACAACCACTTTTTGATGCATATAACAATTCCTTGAGTATATTTATTGTACCCTCAATTTAATAAAATTGGACAAATGTATTTTCTTTCGCTAGTAGCTTAGAACATATGGAAAACCTAAAAGTATGCATTTTAACCATAATGCTATTTGAATCATTGTAGGATAACATTTACCTAATACACTATTTCAGATTTTCAAGAAGACTTATATTAAGGGTCAGAAAACTGGAAAATTAGCACTATGCCCAAGAATCAACATATAATTTGATAACTTCATAAATGACCTAGAAACTACAAGAGGTTTTGCAAATAGACTTTTTTTGTTAAACATGTTTGTTCTCCAAAAATAAGCCAACTGAGATATAGTAAATTTCTTATACTCCCTTATCATTAGATCATTTTATATAGACACAGAATGTACTGAGTCTTTAATCCATGGTGGAAATGCACAAGTATATTAAATAAAATATATTCTAAGTTGACTGTTACTTATTTGCTTATGACAGTGCAAAAGTATCACCTATACATTTGGGTGAAATAATAAATACATCCTACAGTTTCTGTGGAGCATTCATCCCTGATAAGAATCCTATAGACATCTCATCTCAGCAGATGATCTGATTTAAGGCCCATATAAAAAACAGTTACTGGTATTGTGCATTGACAATATGAGAATGTACCCTTCCTGACCACTTAATCGTCTGGTGCCCTTACAGCTCACTAAAATCACGTTGGCTCTTACTAAAAATAATATTCAGGTGGGAGGGAATTTCCTATGACTAGAGGCAACCGGTGCCTGAACTGCAAACTTCCTTTGGTGTCTAAGTCAGTTCTTTAATTCTGTTTTCAGTAATAAATTGATCAATAGCTCTCCTACTGAAGAACTCTCTGCTTTCTCTACCTACTTATCTGTTGTCAAAAGAAAAACAAAATCAGTCTTTCTGCCTTTGCCTTCATTTATATTTTTGCCTTGCTTATGTGGGAGTGGATAAAAAATGTAAGTTATAAAACAAGTATATACATTAATAAGAGAAACAAATACCTATACATATCCAAATAATGGTTTCTTTTGGTCTTGTTTTGTTACTTCAGCTCTTCCCTGAATAGAATTTACATGTAATAGTGAATGTAATTATGGATTTTACTCACACTAAAGCAAGCCAAAAACAACCCAAAAATGGGTGAAATAGGGAAAGGGACTAAATCTACTAATTTCCAGTTATATAGTAAAATAAGTCATGGAGATGTAAAAAAAAAATAATAATAATGCCATTCTTTACTCTTCCATTTCTTGATTATACCTCCTGTTGGGCATGTTCTATCTGACTACACTGTGATATGAAATTGTTCAGTTTTTCTCTTTTTCATCGTTCTCTTTTCACCTTTCCTGATTTTCATAACCTAATGTGGTTGACAGGGCAATGAGGTTCAACTAATAATTTAATACTTTTGATTTTCCAAGGTAAAGAGGACACAAGGCATCCTATGGCAGGTGTGGCAACATTAAAATATTTGAAATTAATACGAACATTTTAGGCTACTTTTACAACACTTTTTTTTTTAGACATTTTTCTTCTTTTTATTTAGAATAGAGTAAGAGGATTTTGAAGTTAAATGGTAAGTTCAAAGGCTATCCACAGTAGTTACCCTTATTCTTTAAAATAAAATAAAATAAAATAAAATAAAATAAATTATAGTTGAACAAATTTGATACCTTTTTCTATAGTTAGTAAAGTTCTGCTGTATTTGATTTCTGAAATTCAGTTACCATATCAAATGACTTCAAAGGAATTCCCTTAGATATGTATTGTATGTGAATGTTTGAAAGATAGCAGATAATGTCACCACACCAAGAAGCTCCTGTGGAATGAAATAGATATGAGAAGTAGGATATGGTGGATGGAGGGAGTGGTAGGTATGTATTGGATAAAAATCCTGCTCTTCTTCACGTAGTGGACTTGTTCTTTGGGAAAATATTATTGCAAAAAAGTTAAAGTGAAACCATTATTTTGATCTTGAAATGCAAAGACTAGAACAAGATTTCTTCCCAGGATCTGCTTGTGTGTTTGGGAGAGAAATGGGAAAGGAAGATCTATTTCAGTAAGTCACCATGGATCATTTCATAGTGATTTAGGCTAATTGATTTTAGTCAGTGATTCCCAAGCCTGACTACAAATCTGGACCGTTTGAAAAGCTTTTTAAATGCAGATTCTTGGGTTTACTGCAAACCCCCATCGGGCGGGGGTGGGGGGAGGGAAATGGGGATACAACACATCTTTGACTAATGCCCTCTTAGTCACACAGATCAAGAAAATAATTTACCTGAAGTTTAAAAATCCATTGCATCTATTTATAAATTATTTGTAAAAAGATAAAATATCAACCTTAATAAAAGTGTTATAGTGACTGAAAATAAGTTAAGGAGACAGTAGGCATTTACATATTTCAGAGCATCTTTGAAACTTATAGACAGCTTATTCATAGCATTTTTGTGCTTTTAGAATAGGTTTATTTTTTTACCTTGTGGGCAGATAAAATGTTATTTTAGCATATTATGATGAGAGCAGGTCAGATTTGAACTTGATATTTAATTAGGTGAAGAGAACACAGGATGCTTTTGAATCCCAGAGATACCATATTAAGACAATTTTGAACGTAATGGAGTACCATTCACTTACCTAGTAATTTGTACTTAATATATTGTCAGACTGTCATTTTTACTTGTCTTGATTCACAACAATCCAAAATAAATGATCACTATCTTAAAACTCATCTGTAAGAAAAGTTATCTTTTTATTAATATTTCAAGCTAAACCTTGGAGTTGTGCAGTGATTTGCTCTGCTTAGCTCTTCTCCATTGCCTTGGACGTTCTCCAAAGGTGGGTGCATTCAGACCTATCAGAGAACCACAGGTTCTACCAAAGGAATTGATTTGAGTTGGACCACTGAGAACATCTGTTTTCATTATAAAGCCTTTATTTGTAAGTGAGAATTGAGAGTGTGAACAAAGAATATCACATGAGAAATCAGATTAACAAGATTTCCCCAAAGGCATTTATACTTGAAGATGCACAGGAAGTTTTTTCAGTTTATCTAATAAATATGAAAATCCTTTGGAAATGTTAGTGTTATACAAATGTTTAAGTTCTAATTTACTCTTATTTTGTGATTATTTTTCAAATCAGTGAATGCAGAAATATTAACTTATCCAAATGATCAACAAGATAATATTAAGTGTACTATAATTATGGTAGATTATTTAAAGAAAATTTTATATTTTTTTGTCGTTTCATTTTGCTGATAATTCACTAGAGGTAAGCAGGCAATAATGTGTTTCCTGGATGAAATAATGGGAGGTACTTTCTGTTTAAGGAAAGAAAATACAATTTTTACAACCTTCAGTTTATTAAAAGCTGGTAGGGTTTAATGTGAAAGGACTGGGATGAAACAGGCCTGAGTTTGAACTTTCACCCTTACTTTCCTAGGCATTAGCTGAGCAGCCTTACTTTCCTATTCTTGAACTGGAAAATAGGGATAACATTTACATCATGGGGTTGTTGACAGAGCTAAATGAGATCATTTGAAATTGTCAAGCCACTGTCTAGCTGCCCAGCAAACACAGAATGGTATTCAGTAGATATTACGAGTCAAAAAACACAACAGAATCTTGAACTGTGTCAGTCAAAATTTCCTCCTGTTCACACTTTTTTAAAAAATTTTTTTTTATTGTATTTATTTAAGTAAAGTCTCTACACCCAACACTGGGGCTTGAACTCATGATCCTGAAATCAAGAGTCATATGCTCTTCTGACTGAGCCAGCCAGGCGCCAGACATATTTCTTTTATATCTGAGACTATGTGATAAACTTGTTTTTAGACTATGTGATAACTTATACTAAGTTAGAACACTTCTCCCACTTGATATATTCAAAAATAAAAAGCAAGAAAACAATTTTGAGGAGGAAAATATTCGTCCTTTCTAACGTATTGCAAAATATTATTCATTCAGTTACCACTAAAAAGGAAATATATTGAAATTTTAATTTCTATTAAAATAAGAACTATAAGCAATATTTCATGGTGGTATCTTACCCTAATAAATAAGGATTTAGAAGTGTAGTTGCTTTACACATACAAAAATGTGATGGGCACCTGGGTGGCTCAGATGGTTAAGCATCTGCCTTCGGCTCAGGTCATGATCCCAGGGTCCTGGGATCGAGTCCCGCATCGGGCTGCCTGCTTCTCCCTCTGCCTCTCTCTCTCTGTGTCTTATGAATAAATAAATAAAATCTTTGAAAAAAAAGTGATGAATATAGTATGCGTTTTTTTCCTTTTTTTTTCATGTCATAGTAGAAAAGAATAAATGTTATGTTTTAGTAATGTCCCCTGAACCATATTTTACTCCATTTTTCGAAGTTCCTACTTAATGAGGAGTCAGATACTTAGTCAGTGAGTGATCATTTACTAAAATACTCATTTCAACAAAGACATAGGATAAAAATAAGTAACTGCCTAATGATGCAGAGAGCATTTCTCTTTTCTTTTTAGCAGGGTCTTTACATGAAACTTTTGTGTGTTTTGTTTTTCTTTCCTTAACTGAATTAAAGGATGCATATGTGGTTTTATTTTGTCACAACACAGATGGAGAATTATACTCCGGGACTGCGGCTGATTTTATGGGGCGAGATTTTGCAATCTTCAGAACTCTCGGGCACCACCACCCAATTAGGACGGAGCAGCATGATTCCAGGTGGCTCAATGGTAGGTGGTGGGGGCCAGAGCCCAGGCATGTTATGTAACATGGGTAACTGTACTTGTCAGTGGAGAGCTTTCCTGTGACTTGAGATTTAGTGTGCAGTTAAACTCATGGTGGTGACTTCATGACTGTGGGTGTGAGAAAATAGGGGAAGAAGAGAAAAGCGAGATTAAAAATTCAGGAAAATGGTTGCTCCGTGCCAAAATTGAAGTTTCTCAGTAGTGAACTGTGGAAAGAAAGAGATCTGGGCTGGAGCTGCGGAAGGGAGGCAGTGGAAACAGATAAGATGACTTACCAGTCTTGTCTTACCTAGACACCACAACAAATCTCGTGATGTATTGTTTTCCTCCACACCTCTCATCCTGCCCTGAGAGCATCATACACGTTCTTGAATGTTTAAACAAATTGTAATGCTAATAACATTACATCGAAAGTGTTTTCAGAATTTCAGAGAACTTTTATTTCCTTTGATTCTCTTTTAATCTTCCTAATATCTTCTCTCAGTTTGTATAGGTGAGAAAATTAAGACTAATGTTTTATCTAAGATTATCTCTAATCCAGTAGTGGAAGATTTGGAACAAGAACCCAGTTTCTTGAACTTCAGGCACTGACTTCAACTTGATCAAGTTTTTTAGATTTTTTTAGTATGTAAGTAAATTTAATAGAGGAGAAAATGTTCAAAATGTATATGCCTAAAATAAATAAATAAATGATATTTTTATTCAGATTTTGAACTAGAGGAGAAAATGTTCAAAATGTGTATGCCTAAAATAAATAAATAAATGACATTTTTATTCAGATTTTGAACTAAATAATCCTAATCTATTCTTCTCTGTAGAGTTTGTTTTTTTATTATTCACTTTCACATTTATCACAGATTTTTGTGATGGCCCCCACAATATTATCATGTTTTTTATTATTAAATAACTATCTCCATGTATATCTGTCTTCAGTCTTATAAAATAAAGCTGCCCAGACCTTAATCTCCCATCCATGAACTTTTTCCTGGTTTCCTAGAGTTCATGGATGAGCTCCATGAACCTATGGAGCGCATGGGTTATAGTCCATCTGTGTTCTCAGTGAGATGTTTGAATATCTCATTCTTTGAATTTCTACCGCACCTATTTTTCCTGCCCTTTTGGGGTACCCAAAATTCCTTTTATCACCTCTCTCATTGGTTTATTAGAGAAAAATCACACTTCTGTGAATTTCACTGAAACTTCAGGAGACCATGAGAGTTGTCTGTGATAATTTTTGTTCTGATATATCTCATACTTTAAAGTGACTATTCAAAACATAAAACATACCTCAAATTACTCCAGTCAGCATCTCTTCCCTGAAGCATTTCTGATCATCCTATTATTTTTTACGTATTAGTATGAATGGTGTGCCTCTTACCTTCCACACTGTCTTTGCTCTTAATTGTATTGTTGTTTTTTTCATAAATTTACCCAACGTACATTTCTTTTGCTGTCTTTCTCTCTCCTTCCCTGATTTCTTCCCCCTGACCTGAAAACTTGCTCGTCTGTTCTATCCAAATTCTTCCTTTAATCCTGGTATGATGTAAAGTCCCTGTGTATCTAAGTCCGTAGTCTGGTTAGGATCTTGTTTCCTCAACATTTTCACCACCGTTAGCCACCTTAAACCTGAGTTTGAACCCAGGGAGCTGCTTCTTCCTAAGGCCACTAATAACTTTCTATACCTGTCTTTCAATCAGTCTGTCCATTTGGATGCTATCTCTTGAAATATTTCTCACTATTAAATAGCCCTTTCTCTTTAAAGTGTCACTTCTCTTAGCTTCCCTCATTTCTTGCCCTGCCAAGTTTCCAGTAAGTTTGACATCACTTCCCCATTGTTTGTATCGTAAATGCAGATGATGCCTAAGATCATTCATAATTGAGTACAAACACTGTTGTAATCAAAAGGGTCTGGACATAGAATCAAATATCCATGCTAGGGGTTTCAGGAGGAATAGTGGGTGACCATATGAAAAATCAGAGGATTCAGCAAGGGAAAAAAAGATGCTGAGATCACCATAAGACCATGTGTGCAAAACTATAAAAGAGCCAAATTCCAACAAAATCCCAGAGAACAATTTTAGAATATTCACTGTCAATTATTAAACTTTGTATGGAGTCAAAAAATTAGTGGGGAAAAAACTCTTTCAAAATTGCTATCTGGTCTATTCTTAAACTGAAATATTTATGTAGGAAGGAAAAATGTTTGTTTTTTATTCAGCAAGAAGGAGACTTCTATCTACTAAGAACTCTAAAGGGCATACAGGCTTTCCCTGTCCATGAGAAAGAAAATCCAAGAAGATGGAATAACATAAAGGAGAGTATAGTATCCATTTCATTTTTATGGCCTTGGAGGAAAAAAGTCATCAAGTTAAAGCTGCTTTTGTGTTGCACACTTACATGTTGACAGCTGAGTCTGAAGAATTTACACTGTGGGAAAGCAGTCATTGTCCACAGCTCTGTACTTCATCTTGCAAATGTGTAGTTCATTTGAGAATTCAGTTATCAGTCTCTCAGCACTAAACGTGAGAACTGATTTTACCAAATTAGCACAAAGGTTACATTTGACAGGGTGCAGAAACCAGAACTGCTGCAACATGGAGGATGCAGACACATTTGAGATAGAACCAAGGGACTGTGTGAATCGCAAGCCTCCTGAAATTAAATGCCATTCCAGAATAAAATTGGAAACATAATGTTTACATATTCATGCGTAAAATAAATGAGTTTGAGGCATCAGCATAGACTACACAATCATTTGTGCTGCCAGAGGTAATAAACACTTGCAATGTACTTTTGAAAGGTCTTTGGGGCTATTAAAATTAATTTTGGCACAGGAGTTACTTTTCTCAAATCAGTTCAAACCTATTCAGTTATTTTGGACGAATCAGTTGGCCTATTTTAGGTGACTTTTAATTTTTGTCCCTGCTAAAGAAAAAAACAAAAACAAATGCCTAGAATTAGATCTTAAAACATCTTGATATTTTTCATGGAATTTCACTATTTTCATAATCACTAAAATTTACATCAGTCAACGTTCAACTTTAGTTTCATTTTAACAGAAAAAATTAGGAATGAGTAACAATTTTAGATGAAGAAACAGAAGAGAGATGGAATCTATTGACTTTTACATAACTGCTTTTTAAAAAAGAATTTTTTAAATTAGCCCGAAGGTTAAGGTTACTAGGTGTTAGAACAACTTTTGATTTCAGAAAAAGTGCTCGTATGTGTTTGACATGATGTGCCCAAATTCACTGTTTTTCTTGTGCATTATAAATTCTCTCAATATTATATCATTTTAACTTCATTTAAACTTCAATTCCAATTTCAGCTTACTAACAGTGTGAAAATTAGGTACAGTTGTTCTCTGTATATTCATAGTAAGGAAACAAATAAGTTTATGCTTCTGTTATAATAATGATTTCTTAACATTTAGTATGTAAATCCTACTACTTAGTTTTTATATGTGGTAGCCATTCATTAGAGCAGATGGATGGCTAACCTACATTTATTTTTCTTTTTGATGGACACTATTTCCAATATTATTTATGTCTTGGACTAATGCTGGGATGCAATGTGATATGGAAGAAAGACTGTAGTCTTTGGAGTAAGACAAAGCTTCACCTTGACTTTACTTTTAATGGGATTATAATACTACTTACCTCTTGTAGAAAACTGACCACATAATAATGGTGTAAAAGTGCTAAGTGAATGATTGGCATATAGTAAGCACTAATAATTGTGAATTTTCTCTGTATCCTTTATCCCACTTCCACTGGGTGGAGCATGCTTAGGAAGCTTTGTCAGACTCATTCTGTGAGTGATTATATTTGAGTCAGGGTGAAAGGGCAGTCAGAGTCAGGTTTAATATATAAAACCACATGGAACCTTGAGAGAGCCAAGGCCCAGTGAACACAAACAGACCTAATTACAGTGCCCAGAGTGTGAGGCCTTCCCACTCATTTCAGGAAGACCTGTTTTCTTTTAGTGGAATTTCCTAAAAGGATCATGCCTGTGGATAGACCAACCCACTTGCTTTTTTCTGTAATTGAAATGGTATGCAAGTCATCATTCCACTTCCTCTCACTTGTAACACTCATACCAGGATGGCTTGCCCTCGTTGGAATCAGCATAGCTTCCTCTGCGGTCATGTACTAGGATATTTCATGTTCTCTAAAGCTTCAAGTTTCTCCACAAGACATTTTTTTGAAAATAGAACCAAGCAATGTGACCACAAATAATCTATGAGAGCACAAATTAATAGTGCATAGTATGTAATCTGAAATCACTTGTACAAGTCTTTTGGTGCTCTATTTTAATTCTACCATCTTCAAAGGCATAAACTGCCAGAGTATCCAATTGGAAATTTTTATAAGTAAAATGAATTATCTAGCTTTGCATAATGTCAGACTTCTTAATGATGCCAGTCTGAATTATTTCTCTGGCTTAAGTACATCAATATTATTTTGCCGACCTTGGGAGAAAAAGCCCTCAGGATGCCTTATTTTATGGTTATATGAACAGATGAGTATCATAGAAGTTGAGTTACCATTCAGTTAAAACAACAGCAACCATAAATGTCCTCTTGGTTTTCATAGCGTATGAAAGAGCAACAGGAATACTGTCTTTTTTTTAACTAATTGCATCTCCTATGAATTATACTCTGTATTCATTAAACATCCTGAGGCATCAATGTAAAGAGTCACAAATAAAAATGATAATATTTTTGGTTATTTTTGCTGAAATTATCCTGAAACATAGATGTGTAATAGTTCAAAACAATCTGTACCTAAACACAACCGAATAGTTATCTGAGGTTTTTTCCCACAGGAATCTATTGCCCAGAAAAATTTTCATACTGAAATATAATGCATACCCCCCAGAAGTAATCTTTTAAAAAAAAAATACACAGCATGAAATTAGTCTACTCTCCAGATGATGATAAATTTAATAAACCTCACTAAATATGCTTTTTCTTTTCATAAGGA